TGTTAAATCTTCTGACACATAGAGTATTTTCCATCTATTTCAATCTTTTAAAATATCTTTCAACAATGTTTTGTAGCTTTCAGAGGATGAATTTTCCCCTTCCTTGTTAAATTTATTCCTAAATATTTAGATAGATTTTTAGTGAAGACTTGAGGGGCTCTTTCAGAACAAAGTACATGAGCTTTATTAAGTGCATGGATTTAGTGGCTTTATTCTGGTGATTCCCATAAATGTTTTTTGTTTCCTTTTAGCTCATAGACATGTTCTGGGTAGAGATTGCCAGATGGTTGAATTCTGATGGAATGAAGGGCTACTGTGCTTCTGAGAAAACCATAACAACTTTTTTCTTTATTTTTTTTAACAAAAGTAATACATATTTGCTGTAAAGATTCATACACTATTGAAACATCCATGAATTTTTTTGTATACTGCTTTTTAAATTTAATAAGTTATGCAAATTTCCATGTCACATATAAATCTACTTTTTAAAAATAGCTGTGTTAGGGTAAATTACATCAGTGTTCTGTAATTGAACCACCAGATCATGACCTGAGCCAAAGTTGGACACTCAACCAACTAAGCCATCCAGGTACCCCGTGTGTTTTAACTTTTAAAAACACTGCTAAAATAGGGGCTCCTGGGTGGCTCAGTCAGTTAAGCATCTGACTCTTGATCTAAGCTCAGGTCTTGATCTCAGGGTTGTGAGTTCAAGCCCTGCATTGGGCTCTGCATTGGGCGTGAAGCCTGCCTTAAAAAATAATAATAATAAAATAAAAACACTGGGGTGCCTGGCTGGCTCAGTTAGAAGAGTGTGGGACTCTTGATCTCCACTTAAGTTTGAGCCCCATATTGGGTGTAGAGATCACTTAAATAAAACTTAAAAAAAAAAACTTTCCAGAAAAAAAGTGTTTAAAAAACATAAAAACACTGCTGAAGTGTTTTCCAGATTACATTCCCACCAGTAGTGTATAAGTGTTGCAGTTGTTCAACATTCTTGCCAATGTTTATGATCAGTCTTTTTAGTTTTAGTCATACTAGTATGTGTGTAATAGTATTTTATTATGGTTTTGATTTACATTTTCCTAATGACTACTAATGATACTATTAGTGCATCTTTTCATCTTTTCATGTGCCATCCATTTGGCTTTTTGGTGAATTCAGGTGGTTCAGATCTTTTGCCTATTTAAAAAATTTTTTTCAATGTTTATTTCTGAGAGAGAGAGAGAAAGACAACTCAGGTGAGGGGCAGAGAGAGAGGGAGACAGAGCATCCAAAACAGGCTCCTCACTGACAGCAGCGAGCCCAACGCAGGGCTTCAACTCAGGAACAATGAAATCATGGCTTGAGCTGAAGTCGGACGCTTAACTGACTGGAGCCACCCAGGCACCCCTGCCTATGTTTTAATCAAGCTGTTTGTTATCATATTACTGAATTATATGAGTTCTTTATATACTCTAGATACAAGTCTTTTGTTGGATGTATGTTCAGCAAGTATTTTCTCCTAGTCTCTCTTGGCTATAAAAGTTTAAACTATTTATTGAAGTATAGCTGACACACAGTGTTACATTGGTTTCAGGTGTACAACGTAGTGATTGGACAAGTCTATTCTATATGTTATGCTCTGCTCACTGCAAGTGTGGCTACCATCTGCCACCATACAATGCTATCACAGTACCATTGACTATATTCTCTATGCTGCACCTTTTACACCCATGACTTCTTCATCTTGGCTATTACATTTTAAGAGAACATGGTCAAAAGATTTCCACAATCTTTTTTCTCAAACCCTCAACACTAACATGAATTTCTGTTGATCTTAACAAAAAAAAATCATTATAAAGTGGAAGCCCAAAATTGCTTCAAGTGTATTCCTAATATCCAGACAAGTAACATTCACATAAATTATTGGAATAAAAAGAAAAAAAAATGATAGCTTATTTGTTATTTTTGGCTAAGTCACTTTAACTGTTGGATATAGTCATGAAGGATAAGCACCATGTTTTCATTTTCTCAGGCTGTCTTTTCAGAGGCCTTCTTTTGGAGGAGTTGTATAAGTGAGAGGAGAAAAGCATGAACAAGTGCTCATTCTAACAACTGTTTTTTTTTAAATATAAAATTTATTGTCAAATTGGTTTCCATACAACACCCAGTGCTCATCCCAACAGGTGCCCTCCTCAATACCCTTCACCCACCCTCCCCTCCCTCCCACCCCCCATCAACCCTAAGTTTATTCTCAGTTTTTAAGAGTCTCTTCTGGTTTGACTCTCTCCCTCTCTCTTTTTTTTTCCCTTCCTCTCCCCCATGGTCTTCAGTTAAGTTTCTCACGATACACATAAGAGTGAAAATATATGGTATCTGTCTTTCTCTGTATGACTTATTTCACTTAGCATAACACTCTCCAGTTCCATCTACGTTGCTACAAAAGGCCGTATTTCATTCTTTCTCATTGCCAAGTAGTATTCCATTCTAATAACTGTTTTAATAGGTCTGTGACAGGGTGTCTGGGTGGCTCAGTCAGTTGAGTGTTCGACTCGATTTTGGCTCAGGTCAGATTTCAGGGTCATGGGATTGAGCCCTGAGTCAGGCTCCATGCTGAGCGTGGATCCTGCTTAAGATTCTTTCTCTCTCTCCCTCTGCCCCTCTCCCCTGCTCGTGCCCTCTCTCTCTCTAAAATAGTAATTGTAATAATAATTATTATATTTATTATTAATAAATAATAACTATAATTATATTTATCATCACCATTACTATTATAACAACAGCAACAACAACAGGTCTGAGATCTTCCACATCCCACTCCTTTCAGAGAGGCAGGATAGTAAATGGGTTAAGTGCATAGAGTCTGCCACAGGGGAGTCTCTTGCTGTGTGAGCCTGGGCAAGTTACTCAACAGTTCTGTGTCTCAGTTTCCTCATCTGTAAAATTAGAATAAAAATAGTGCCTAACTAATAGAATAATTATGAGGATTAAATGAATCAAAATACACAAAGTACTTAAAATGGTTCCTGGCACAAACTAAACACTCTAGAAATGTTAGCTCTTATTATTAAGACTCCATGCAGCAAATATTTATTCAGTTTTCACCGCAAGCACACACTGACCTTATCTGTTTTGATTTGGGCTTCTTTGGCACAGGTTGCCAACATTCATGCTGAGATTCACTATTCACAAACTCCTACTCAATAAACATGAATGGAGAGCCAAAATCCTCAGTTTGTGAACACTTTATTTTAATAAATGAAAAAGTGGTATCTTTCATCATTTTTATCATTGGCTCATATCTTTTTATATATTGGACATCATCATAATAACTAACAATTGAGTACCTTATATGTTGAGTGTGTGCTATAGATGAGAGAGTCAGAGACAGAACGAGAGACAGTGGGAGGTAGAAACACACAGAGAGAGTGTTAGTTGGATGAAATGCTCCTTAGGTAAAGTAACTTGTCCTTGGCCACACAACTGGCACAGTGGCACAGCTGGAATTCAAACCGAGGGACATCTGATTTCAAAATCTTGCACTTTCTACTCTGCCACATATTCCTTACGTTATCATTAATTTCTTGTATTTTATGTTTATGTGTTAGAGGGTGAGAACAAGAAGCTTCATTTCAATATGTAGAAATATTGAATATTATTCAATATTGTTTATTGAAATTATCGAAATATTATTGAAATATTGAAATTATTGAATATTATCATTATGTGGAGGAATATAATGATATTATACTGCTGGGGTGTTCTATGTACTCACTCTTACAGAACTCTAAGAAATGCCATGGATCACATCAGTCCCTGAGCCATTGTTTTTAATATCCAGAAAAGGAGTTCTTGTTCCTTGAAAGTAGAGAAGTAAGCCAAAATGTTAGGGGAAAGAACCCTTTTGTTTATTATAGCACATTTGCATTCTACTTGCATCACTCAGAATTCTCTTGTAATTACAATGTATGTACATTTGGTTAATGAAAACTTTTCAGGGCTAAACAATGTACTTTTTAATTGAAGACAAAGAGTATCTTCTAATCTTTGTTAATGTAATATGTATATTTAGCAAAAACTTTTCACTCTAGAACAATGAACTTCTTCACTGATAGCATGAAATGCACAGAAAAAATGTAAGCCTGAGCCCTCAACATGAATCTATTAGAATTATAAAATTTGTAAGATAAGACAGGAAACAAAACCCAAAGAAATGTGGATAGAATCATAAACTTGATTTTAGTATAAAAAGTACATTTCAGATAGATTACAGTAAGAATAGTGAAATGTATAGTCACTTATTCAATAAATATTTGTTTTACCTACTGTGTGCTAGGTGAATTCTGGGCTTTAACCCCAAGTTTTGTTTTAATTAATTAATTAATTAATTTAATGTTTATTTAGTTTTGAGAGAGAGACAGAGACAGAGAGTAAACAGGGGAGGGGCAGAGAGAGAAGGGGACACAGAATCTGAAGCAGGCTCCAGGCTCTGAGCTGTTAGCACCCAGCCCAAAATGGGGCTTGAACTCGTGAACTATGAGATCATGACGTGAGCTGAAGTTGGACACTTAACCGACGGAGTCACCCAGGTGCCCCAACCCCAAATTTTAAAATCTGGATTTATAGTAGATTTTAGTTGCACCTTTCACATCACCATAAAGCAATGCTGACTGTTTCTAAGCAATGGATTCTTTCATATGGTTGGTTTTGGTAAAATTTCTTCATAATAGTGTGAAAATAAAAATGTAGGAAACCATTTCCTGGTTTGTTCATTTTAAAGGAAGTAATAGCTGTTTCTTTGTTATTATGGAATATTACTATCCTTAGTCAATTTTCAACGGATATACATGGGTCACAACATTTCTAGCCACAATAGACAGTATTACTTGTGTGTTTCAGCTGCTATTATAGTTCAGAAGCAAATGTGTTTTCTGCTGAGCACATTTATTTTGTCGCCAGCAAGAGCAAGCATAATTAATGGTGGTCCATCTTAATACGATGTCTCTTTGTTTCCTTTTCAGTGCCTTGTATTTATCAGTCAGTCCTGGCTGAAGAAGTTTGGTTACTATAAAATTATCTTAATTTCTTTCTACCTAGAAGGAACAGCCTCCATTGTCATGTCACTTCTTGGACAGCAATACTATTACCTTTTGGCTCTTTATCTCACTATTATCATGTAAGTAAATCCAAATGCCAGTCCCAAAATTACACTAGGTCTTGCCATTTACACTTTCAAGCAGTGCAACATTTTTTATCTGAACTGTGTTGAATATTCATTTCTAGGCAATCATTGTACCTTTCTGGCAAACTGAATGTTCACAGTTTCTTTTTTGGAGCGATTTCATACATTAGATTTTGTAGTAAAGTTATGTTCCTCTTTTTAACCTATTAAAGTGCATCATTTAGTAAATGTTGCTGCCAAATAAAGATTTGACCCCATGGGGCACCTGGGTGGCTCAGTTGGTTAAGTGTCTAACTCTTGATTTTGGCTCAGGTCATGACCTCTTGGTTGTGAGATTGAGCCTGCATTGGGCTCCTCAATGGGTATGGAGACTGCTTAGGATTCACTCTCCCTCTCCCTCTGCTCCTTCCCCGCTTGCTCTCTCTCTCTTTGCCTGTTGTTCTTTGCCTTTGTCCCCCATCTTGGAAAACAGCTCTACCATCTGTTTAGATGTCCAAGTCAGAGACTTTGTCTTTGTCTTCTCTTTCTTCTCTGTCACCTGTGTCCAATAGGCTACCAGTTATTAGTCCTGATACGTCCTGAATCCATCCCTTCTCTGCTTCCATTAGCTCAGGTCCTCATCATCTCTCACATGGAGTAGTATCTGGCCTCCCATATGGTTCCCTTGTCTCTAGTCTCCAGTCCTCCTGACACCTTCGTCCACATCGTTCCTACAGTAACATGTCATTCCTTAATGATCTTAAGTAGCTTCTTACTGCTTTTAAGATTTATATCATAAAATGATGACATATGAGGTCTTTTGTTATATAGTCTCTGTTTACTTCCTCATCCTCATATCACTCTTCTAGTTCTTCTGTACTCCACACCAAACAGGAATACTTTGTAGTGTAGGCACCTCATATCTAACATGTAGCATTCTGTGTCTAGAAAGCTCTTCACCATTTCTTGCCTGGCTCTTTCCTGGTGTTTCTTTTCTTTTTTTGTTTAAATGTATTTATTTTGAGAGAGAGAGAGAGAATGAATGAATGAATGAACAAACAGGGGAGGGTCAGAGAGAGGCAGAGAGAAAATCCCAAATCCCAAGCAGGCTCTGCAATGTCAACATGGATATCAATGCGGGGCTCAGTTTCACGAACCGTGAAATCATGACCTGAGCCGAAATCAATAGTTGATCACTTAATCAACTAAGCCACCCACGTGCCCCATGATGATTTTCTTATTAACACTTTCTTTTCTCTAGCTTACTTTATATAATACATAGAATATACAAAATATGTGTTAATCAACTGTTTATGCTATCAGTAAAGCTTCTGGTCAACAGTAGGCTATTAGTAGTTAAATTTGAGGGGAGGCATAAGGTATATGTGAATTTCCCACTGCCCGGGAGGTCAGCACCCCGAATCTCTGTGTTAATCAAGAATCAACTGTACATTATTTCATTTTTCCTTCTTATAAACAAAATTTCAACTTTCATTTGATGTTTGGTTTTTAAAAAGAAAATCTGTGCCTCCTAGTTATATGTGTATTTTATACGTATATTTTAAAATCATTTCTAGGGTAATTGTGCAAGCTTCTTTCTGTTTGTTTAACCTGCCACTAGCTGACATGGTGGATGCAGATTTACTGAAGTTCAATCGGCAGTAAGTACATTTATTCAAATATCAGCTGTAACAATATCACATGGAGGCAGGACCTGTAAGAGTCTGCCTTTTATATTTCCACTACAAATCATCTATCTAAGAGATGATCATAAGAGCATCACTGGGAATTAGAGAGCAGAACATAATAGGATATTCATAATTGTCTGCCCTGGGCAACTTTTCCCTGTTTCTGAAAGGGCATCATAATTTTTTATACGGCAGGTTCATACAGCCAATGCTATGACAGGATTAGATCTCCAAAACCAAAGTGAAATCTCAGATAGCTTTATGTTCTACGTATTGCAGTACGCCTTATTACACTGGATGTCGAAGGCAAAATGACCTTTTCTCTGTGACATTGCAAGAATTAAAATTAATGATTAAAAATCTTATCTTTTTTTTTACTTGAAAAAGTATAAGGGGCTGCTGATGAGAGGTTTTGTTCTTTGGTGTGGTTATAAGCTTTTTACATCAGCTATAAAATTCACTTGATTGGTAAATGTTTTCTTATCTGTGCCCTATTTTACAGATTAGAGAGGAATACCCGTGTTATTTTAACACAGGTATATCCTTTTTTTAAATATTTATTTTGAGAGAGAGAGAGAGAGAGAGAGAGAGCATGTATGTGCATGTGTGCATATGTGCAAACGTGGGAGAGGTAGAGAAAGAGGGAGAGAGAGAATCCCAAGTAGGCTTCAGGCTCATTGCAGAGCCCAATGCAGGGCTTGATCTCACAATCAAGAGATCACGACCTGAGCTGATCTCAAGAGTCTGATGCTTAACCAACTGAGCCACCCAGGTGCCCCACAGGTACATTCTTTATTAGCTCTGTAGAAACACTTAGACTACATGGCCTCTTTTTTTTTTTTTTTTTTTTTAATGAAATCTGTACTGCGAAAAGCCTTGCCAGTCAAACTGCTTGATGTCTTCTTTATATAATTCCTCTTCTGTTTCAGGGTTTTGTTGCTAAGTTATGTTTGAAGGATAAGCAAGATGGTGAGCTCCTTACAGTGCAGGACCGTTCTCCTTGTGTGTCTCTAGTGTCTAGAAAAGTGACTGGCTCAAACCACTCTTTTTAATTGAGTGATTTAAGGGGTGCCTGGGTGGCTCAGTTGGTAAAGTGTCTAACTTCGGTTCAGGTCACGATCTCACGGTTTGAATTTGAGCCCCCAGTTGGGCTCTGTGCTGACAGCTCAGAGTTTGTTGCCTGGAGCCTCCTTTGGATTCTGTCTTCCTCTCTCTCTGCCCCTCCCCGACTCATGCTCTGTCTCTGTCTCTGTCTCTCTCTGTCTCTCAAAAATAAACATTAAAAAAATGAATGAGTAATTTAAAAAGAAGAGGGGTGCCTGGCTGGCTCACTTAGTTGGGCATCTGACTTTGGCTCAGGTCATGATCTCACAGCTCATGAGTTTGAGCCCCGCGTCAGGCTCTGTGATGACAGCTCAGAGCCTGGAGCCTGCCTCGGATTCTGTGTCTCCCTCTCTCTCTCTCCCCCTCCTCCGCTCATGCTCTGTCTCTCTGTCTAAACATTTAAAAAAAATTTTTTTTTAAAGAAGAAACCTCAGTAAACATCTTACAACTCTCAAATTCTTTTTGAATGAAACTGGATACAAGTAAATAAAATGTCTCAAATAGAAAGGAAAAGGCACTAACATTTACCACATTCCAAGGTGTGCGAACATTATATGGCTTTTGCTCGTTCAGGTCTCACACCAGCCTTGTGTGGTAGATACTACTCACTCCATAAATATGTGTTGCTTGCCTGCTAATGTGTCAGGCACTGTGGTAAATACTGGAGATACGATATAGGAGGCCTTGTAACAGAGTCCCTCTAAAACATACTTTTCTTTTTTTTTTTTTTTTAATTTTTTTTTTTAATTTTTTTTCAACGTTTTTTATTTATTTTTGGGACAGAGAGAGACAGAGCATGAACGGGGAAGGGGCAGAGAGAGACGGAGACACAGAATCAGAAACAGGCTCCAGGCTCCGAGCCATCAGCCCAGAGCCTGACGCGGGGCTCGAACTCACGGACCGCGAGATCGTGACCTGGCTGAAGTCGGACGCTTAACCGACTGCGCCACCCAGGCGCCCCTATTTTTAATTTTTTAAGTAATCTCTATACCCAACGTGGGGCTCAGACTCACAACCCTGAGGTCAAGAGTCACATGTTCCACAGACTGAGACTGCCAGGCTCTCCTAAAACATACTCTCTTATGCATATGGCATGCTGTATGCTCCTGACCAGTGGCTACCCCGGGGGATACCTGTGCCTCTCTGCTGGCATAAGTTGTATCCTTACCAGGAGTTAGTACTTTTTATTTCAGATCTGTTAATGTCAGCTGCAATGGTTATTTTTTTTTTAATTTTTTTTTTCAACGTATTTATTTATTTTTGGGACAGAGAGAGACAGAGCATGAGCGGGGGAGGGGCAGAGAGAGAGGGAGACACAGAATCGGAAACAGGCTCCAGGCTCCGAGCCATCAGCCCAGAGCCTGACGCGGGGCTCGAACTCACGGACCGCGAGATCGTGACCTGGCTGAAGTCGGACGCTTAACCGACTGCGCCACCCAGGCGCCCCATGCAATGGTTATTTTAATGAGAACATTTACAGGGCACCTGGGTGGCTCAGTTGGGCTCTGCACTGGCATGGAGCCCGGTTGGGATTCTGTCTCTCTCTCTACCCCTCCCCAACTCGTGCTGTCTCTGTCTCTCTCTAAATAAATAAACAAACTTAAAAAAAGTACTTAGGAACTGTAAGGGTGAGATGAAAGTTGTTTCTGTGAAAACTAAGTTGAATGCTTTATAAAGATCTGACAAAGGTAAGGTATAAAAAAATATTATCAGATCTGATGCAATGAGAACTATAAATGTTTTGGGGGAAATTCATAAAAGCCTAAAGCTATTGTGTACTCAGATTGCCTTGTAAATAACTGTAGTTCTCTCTATAACTGACAGTAGAAACTGTAGATCATGTAATATGGATACTGTCCTCGCGAGAATGATGGCATAGCACTTCCACCCGTGGGCCCATACTCAAAGGAAAAGCCCAAAGGAAAGATTGATGAACGAGTACATTTCACTTAAAACAGAATGGTTAATGTCTCTTCTTCTAAAAAGGATTGTTTTGGGGGCACCTGGGTGGCTCAGTCAGTTGAGCGCCTGACTCTTGATTTTGGCTCAGGTTATGGTCCCAGGGTCATGGTATCAAACCCCACATTGGGCTCCACACTGAGTGTGGAGTCTGCTTGGGATTCTCACTCTCCCTCTGCCCCTCTCCACCACGCACACGTGCTGTCTCTCTCTAAAAACTAAAAAAAATAATAATAAAAAATAAATAAAAAGGATTGTTCTGCTCTAGCCAACTGTCCTCCAGATCATGTCAGATAAGAACTTAATACAATGAGCCAAAATAGATGTAGCCTTCACCCTTTGTGGCAGTGACAGCCTAGTGGGGGAGACAGACAGCAATTGTATTATAGTATTATATCATACAATCAGAAGTACCCTCATTTTCAGGAAACTAAGACTCTTGAGGGGTCAGCTTGCCTAAGGTAATAAAACCAGCAGATTAAAGAACTAGAAGTGAAACCCAAGTTCTTCCTGTCAAATCAGACTTCCTCCAGTTCTCTGGCCTCATCTTTCTTCCCTGTCTTTTTTTCTTTCTCCTCCTCTCCATTTTCTTGCTTTTTCTTCTCTTTCTCCTCCTTGGAGAGGTTTCCACCGATAGTTGAAATATGACAAGATTTCACTTTATTCAGTCAATGCACTGGATTTTTAGGTTTATTTTATATGACATAACTTAGTTATCAAAAATGATATGGCAGGATTCTCACTTAGAGCTCATTTGAGTAATCCTTAATGAAATCTGGGCTGAGAAACTTAGGTGTGAATCCCCGTTCTACTACTTACTAGCTGTGTGACTGTGGACAAGTTAATCTATTCTCCCATCTCTAAAACAGGAGTGACAATGTCTTTCTCATAGGATTGTTGTGGAGTTTACAGGTTTGCATTTTTTTTAAGTAGGCACCATGCCCAGTGTGGGGCTTAAACTCAGGACTCTGAGCTCAAGAGTCACATGCTCTACCAACAGAGCCAGCCAGGTGCCGCTATGGTGGGATTTAAATGACTTACCACAGGGGCGCCTGGGTGTCTCAGTCAGTTAAATGTCCAACTCTTGATTCCAAATCAGGTCACGATCTCATGGTTCACAGGTTCAAACCCTGTGTCGGGCTCTGCACTGTCATGACAGTGCAGAGCCTGCTTGGGATTCTTTCTCTCTCCCTCTTTCTCTGCCCTCCCCAACTCGAGCTCTCTCTCTCTCTCTCTTTCAAAATAAATAAATAAACTTTAAAAATTAAGAAAAAATGACTTAACAGCACAGGGCACATATAGCTCTCATTATTGAGCATGTAAGAGTCTAGCTGTGTCTCCTCTTTGATCCATTTCTTCACTGAAAGAGTTTGGTTCTTTTAAGTTTATAACCACTATGACTAAGAGGTTAATATTCTATAACTACTATATATTTCTATTGTCTAGTTACAGTCAAGGAGGACTTAACTGACAAAAAGTTCCTTGATTTCTGTGTGATACAGACCCATGCTATCTTTGTCTGTTTCAGGTCACCCCTTTCCTCAATGGTTTTTGGCATCAATGCTTTGTTTACCAAACCTGCTCAGTCTTTAGCTCCCATGATGATACTCTCTAAGCTAAAACAGTATGGATATGGAAACGCAGATAAAAGGTAGAGTAAAAATGCCTTTGAAATAATGTAAAGGAAATATTAAAGCAAACTCAGACTTTTATATTGATTACTAGGCAATTATCTTGGACTTTGGATATTATTAGTTATTTTTTTTTTTTAATTTTTTTTTTCAACGTTTATTTATTTTTGGGACAGACAGAGACAGAGCATGAACGGGGGAGGGGCAGAGAGAGAGGGAGACACAGAATCGGAAACAGGCTCCAGGCTCTGAGCCATCA